TCCATCGTTTTTAGAAAAGCATCGAGCTAAAAAGCGACAAACGTGATTACGTCACAGTCGCCGTTTCTTTTGGCCAAAAGCGACGGACAGCGACACTTTTGTCCGTCTCTTTTTGGAATTTTTTAGTAGTGATAAAGACCAGAAATTTCAACTTCAAATCGATAGGTCACTAAATTTCATTTAGACTCCTTAGTTGAGCTTTGTTAATTTTAGACAAGGTAGGGTCTTGTTGTTTTATTTTGACACTTTTAACTATCACCCACATATACAAGTGTGTGTAATACACTCGCTGATTACGTGTCAAAGTGACGAGTCAAATAAAGACATGTGGTATATATATATATAAAAAAAATTCAAATAATGACTTTTCAGTAAAAAAAATGAACACAGATTTGATGACATGTGGCATTCTAAACGTAAACAATTATTTTTTCTAAAGAAAAACTCAGGTCGCCATATTGCCCACCCGTTCGTCTTCTTCACCCCAACCAACCCCGTTTTCTGTCCACCCTCACCCACCCCAACCCCAACTGCCCTCCACCCCCACCAACCACCAGATATTCCTCCACCCCTATCCACCCCAACCCCAAACCCAATCGCTCTTCCACCCCACCAGCCACAAGATCGTCCTCTCCTCACCCACCCACTCCAAACCTCGACCCCTTTTTCACCCATATCAAATTTTCATGGAACACTTTTAAAAGAATTTAATTACTTTGAAAAACTTATTTTTCAAAAGTACGATTGTTTCTTCTTAGTTCTAAAAATTAGTTATTAAATAACAATGAACTTTTTTCTTATCTTTTTTTTTTGCAATTCTCGTTTGTGAAAATGATTCAATACACGCGCAGTAACTATGTATCACACTCACTATCTCAATTCTCATGTAAGATAGAAGTGTCAAAAGGGTATAGCGAGAACCGACGTAAGGTGTCTAAAATAAACAAAGCTCAATTAAAGTGTACAAGTAAAAATTGGTAACAACTTTAAGGGGCCAGTAATGAAAATAAAACCAAATTATAAAAATAAAACACATTAAACAAGAGATAACCCAACCTTAGATTCTGAGGACATGATTTTAGATGGGAGGATATACAGGACATGTACTTAGATAGAGGTTAGAAGGTATAGTGCTGGTCTTGCTTTGGGTGGTTGTTGTTTGTCATTGTACTAGTGATATATTGTTGTTTAGTGTGTTTCAATTATCACACTATTATATTGTTATTTTGAGTCTTTTCAGTAAACTTTGCACTACTTACATTATAATTGCTATATAGTTTCTTCACTAACTCCTTTGTACATGAATTTGTTGTCGAGTGTCTTATGGAAATATCCTTTCTACCTGTATAAATTAGTGGACTAGTGTATGGTCTGCGTATATGTATTTCACATAAGTGCTTTTCATAAAATTATTTTTTCAACAACAGACTTTTTGCTATTTTTCTCTAAAAACCTTGGTCAAATACCTCACTCCTAAATTGTAAAATATAGACTTTTGAAAGGGGAAATAAATATCGTTCCAATTTGTTTGGCCAACTTTCATATTTAATCCATTTAAAAAAGAATGACTCCTTCCTTTTTCTTCCAGCAACTCATTAATCTTAATTTTTTACTAACATTTTAAATTCATAAATATAAATAACATTTTGATACATT